AGCTTCACTATTAGATGTCGAGGTGTTGAACGGTTTTTATTGATTTTAGGGGGGGATCTCTCTATTTCCTGGATCTGAATGCCTGTTTCCCTTCCCAGATTGGGAAAGTTTTCAGCTAGGATTTGTTCAAATACATATTCTGGCCCTCTGTCCCTTTCGGCGCCCTCGGGAACCCCAATTAAACGTAGGTTTTTCTTCCTCAGACTGTCATTTATTTGCCTTAATCTGTCTTCATGGTCCCTTAATTGTCTGTCTCTTTTTTCCTCAGTTTCCCTCTTTGCCATCAACTTGTCTTCTATGTCACTCACTCGTTCTTCCACCACGTTAACCCTCGTCGTTAGGACTTCTAGTTTGGATTGCATCTCATTCAATTGATTTTTAATTTCTGCCTGATTGGATCTAAATTCTGCAGTCATGAAGTCTCGTGAGGCCTTAATGCTTTTTTCTAGAGCCACCAGTAGCTGTAGAATAGTGCTTCTGAATTGGCTTTCTGACATTGAAGTGTAATCCAGATTTTGTAACTCTGTGGGAGAGAGGGCTGTTTCTGATTCTTTCTTTTGAGGTGAGGTTTTCCTTCTAGTCATTTTGCTCAGTGCAGAGTGGCCAAAAACAAGTTGTATTGGAACACGGGGGAGTATCACTGGTCCGTCTAGCTGGTCTTCTGGGGGAGGGGCCTGCTGTGCTGATTTTCAGGTGTTAGCACTTGGGGGAGCTGCTCTGCCCCTGCCTGCTGCAGGGCTCAGCGGGGGTTGTTTACCCCGTGGGACCCAGGGAGGAACAGCAGCAGTTGCTATGGCAACTCTGGAAGCCTGGATTCAGCCTCCGCAGGAACTACGGGGCTCGGGGCTCTCAGCTCTCCGTCCGCAGGGCCTGGAGGCTCCGGGACGGGGCCGCTGATGTGCTCAGCTCGGGGCAGGAGCGTCCTTGCTGTCCTGGGCCCTCCCGGCCTCTGCCTGTCCCAGGGGGAGGCCGGATCCTGGGCTGTGTCCCCGGCGCCCTGTGCCCCGGGGCCTGCGCTGTGGGATTCGCGCTCCCGCCCTGCAGCTCCCTCCCTGGAGCCGCTCCCGAGCCCCTCCGAGCTGCTCCGGCCCCGCCGTGCGCGCTGCAGCCCTTAGGGAGCTCGGCGCACTCCCCGGGGCGCAGGTGTCTGTTAGTGTCCCCGGGAGCCCGAGGGCATCCCCACTCTCCTGGGTCCTGCTCCAGCTCCCTGCGAGCCCCTTTCCGCCCGCCCGGGAAGGTTGGTGCAGCTCCTGCTCCTCCGGGACGGGGCTCTCCTGTCCTGGGGACACTCGCCCCGGCCTCAGCCCGGCTCCTCGCGGGGCCCCTCCCCCTCGGAGGCCTTTTGTTTCTTTATTTCTTTTTCCCCGTCTTCCTACCTTGATAGAAGCGCGGACTCTTCTCACTGTAGCGTTCCAGCTGGTCTCTCTTTACATCTCAGGCCGAATTCGTAGATTTTCAGGATGGTTTGAAGGTTATCTAGGTAACTTGGTGGGGACAGGTGATTTGGGGACCCTGCTCTTCCGCCATCTTGCCCCTCCCTCGATGTAATTTCCTTTCATTTCCACTTTGTTGCAAGTTTTTTCTTTTAAAGATTTTATTTATTCATTTACTTGAGAGAGAGTACAAGCAGGGGGAGCAGCAGGAAGAGGGAGAAACAGGCTCCCCACTGAGCAAGGTAGCCAATGAGGGCTCAATCCCAGGACCCTGGGATCATGACCAGAGCTGAAGGTAGATGCTTAACCTACTGAGCCACCTAGGTGCTCCTACTCTGTTGCAAGTTTTTAATCATGGGAGTATACTGAATTTTGTCAAAGGCTTTTTCTGCATATTTTGAGATGATCAGATTTTTTTCCCCTTTATTCTGTTACTGTAATATATTACACTGATTGATTTACTTACATTCAACTGACCTTGCATCCTAGCGAAAATTCCTACTTGGTCATGTATAAGATCCTTACAATATGCTGTTGAATTTTATTTGCTCCGATTTCGCTCTGTATTTTTGCCATCCCTTCCTTTCATTCAGTCTCTGTGTGCCCTTAAAATCTAGAGTAGGTCCATAAATATAGTTGGCTCTTAAAATTTTTTTAAGCGGGATCCCTGGCGCAGCGGTTTGGCGCCTGCCTTTGGCCCAGGGCGCGATCCTGGAGACCCGGGATCGGATCCCACATCGGGCTCCCGGTGCATGGAGCCTGCTTCTCCCTCTGCCTATGTCTCTGCCTCTCTCTCTCTCTCACTGTGTGCCTATAATAAATAAATAATAAATAAAAAATTAAAAAAAAATTGTAAGCATATAGTTGGATCTTAAAAAAATTTTTTTGTCCTTTCAACCACTGTATGTATTTTGATTGGGGAGTTTAATGCATTTACATTTAAAGTAATTATTGAGAGAGAAGGTCTTCCTATTGCCATTTTATTAATTGTTTGATATCTCTTTTGTAGCTCTTTTGTCCCTTTTCTCTCTTGCTGTCTTCCTTTGTGGTTTATTGATTTTTTAAAAAAAATTATCATCTTTTTGAGTAGCATGCTTTGATTGTTTTCTCATTTCCTCACTTTCTCTTGTGTCCTTTCTTTTTAGAGTGTGCACAAGGAGGAGGAGGGGCAGAGAGAGAGAGAGAGAGAATCTTAAGTAGGCTCCACATCCAGCATGGAGACTGACATGGAGCTCAATCCCACCACCCCAAGATCATGACCCAAGCCAAAATCAAGAATTGGACCCTCAATTGACTGAGTCACTCAGGCACCCCTTCTTTTGTGCATTTCTATAGGTATTTTCTTTGTAATTATCATGGGTCTTACATAAAACTTCTTATACTTTTAACACCCTGCTTTAAGTTGACAAAAACTCTTTAGTCAAAAGACTCTTTACTTTTATGTCTCCCCCACAAACACTATGTTATTGATGCCAAATTTTACATCTTTTTTTTTTAAGATTTTGTTTATTTATTCATGAGAGAGAGAGAGGCAGAAACACAGGCAGAGGGAGAAGCAGACTCCATGTAGGGAGCCCGACGTCGGACTCAATTCCGGGTCTCCAGGATCATGTCCTGGGCTGAAGGCAGCACTAAACCACTGAGCTGCCCAAATTTTACATCTTTTTTATTGTGTATCCACTTCGTGTAAGATTTTTATAGTTTTTAGTTGTAGTTTTTTTTTTGTACTTTTGTATTTTAACTTCTACACTTGAACTAAAAGTGATTTACACATCACTGTTGGAGTATTACAGTATTCTGCATTTCTCTCTATATTTACATTTACCAGCAATTTTTATGGTTTATATGCTTTTGTATTGCTTTTTAGAATCCTTTTGTTTCAAGTTGAAGAACTGCCTTTAGCATTTCTTGTAAGTCTGCTATAGAAATTTTCTCTTTGAGGCACCTGGGTGGCTCAGTGGTTGAGCGTCTGCCTTTGGCTCAGGTCGTGATCCTGGGGTTCCGGGATCCAGTGCTGCATCAGGCTTCTCGCAGAGAGCCTGCTTCTCTGTCTTCCTATGTCTTTGCCTCTCTCTCTGTGTCTCTCATGAATGAATAAATAAAATCTTTTTAAAAAAAATTTTAAGAGGCAGAGACACAGGCAGAGGGAGAAGCAGGCTCTATTCAGGGAGCCTGATGTGGGACTTGATTCCGGGACTCCAGATCACGCCCTGAGCCGGAGGCAGATGCTTAACCACTAAGCCATTCAGGTGTCCCTAAAAATCTTCTTTTTAAAGAAATTTTCTCCTTGTCTTTAGCTTTTGACAGTTTGATTATTATATTGTGGTCAGTGTGGACTTCTTTAGATTCATCCTTTCTTTGGAGACTGTTGGCATTCTTGGAGCTGGATGTCCATTTCTTTCCCGAAATTTGAAGGTTTTTAACCATTAGTTTTTAAAATAGCTTTCTTCTCCTTCTGTACCCCCCCCCTTCTGAGATTCCCATACTATTGGTCTATTTGATGGCCTACCTTAAGTGCCTCAAACTTTTCATTCTTCTTTTTGTTCTTCCAGCTGGATAATTTCAAATGACATTTCTCTGAGTTCACTCATTTTTTTCTTATGCTTGCTAATCTGCTGTTAAACCCCTCTAGTCAATTTTTCAGTTCAGCTGTTGTATTGAAGCTTCAGCTCCAAGTTTTTAGTTTGGTTATTTTCTATACCTCTCTTTGTTGAGATTCTCATTTTGTTATGCATTGTTACCATGAACTCACTGAATATTTTTGTGATAGTTATTTGGAATTCTCTGTGTGATAATTCTTAAACCTACATTTCATTAGGGTCAGTTTCTGGACATTTAGCTTGTTCCTTTTCTGGGGCTATGTTTCCCTGTTTCTTTGTTTTTCTTGACTCTTTGTATTGGGATCTGTGCATTGGAAAAAACACCTCCTCTCCCAATATTCCTGGACTGGCTTCATACAGAAGGAGACTCTTACCAATCAGCCCTGCCAGAGAAATGTGGGGGGTGGGGCTCTCAAATTTTCTTTATCTGTATGTCTTCCCTGGTCTTGTTTGTATAAATTCCCAATCAGAAGGATCTGCTGGTTTCTTATTTCAGGATTTTATAATCCCTTCCTCCCTCTGGTATCTGTCTGCTATATCATAGATCTTCCAGAGCAGCAGCTCTGATCTTTTTTGTTCTCAGAGATCACCAGATGTCTAGAGTATGTCAGGTCCCATCTGTGTTCTGAGACAGGCAAGACTGGAACCAGTTCTCAGGCAGTCACCTCAAAATCTGAATGTTGTATGTATGTTTCAGTCTCTTGTCTTCCTCTTCAGGGATTACCTAGGAGCTGGGAATCTTCCTGATTGGGCTGTGCTGAGTAAAGTGTAGGGGACTCTGGTGGGTGAGCAAATGCTGGTCCAAATGTTTGCCTTTATTCTCATAAGCCTCCAGGCATCTAGAGTATGCTTGGTATCTTATCAACATTCTAAGAAGCGTTCAGGTTAAGATACAAGCCAGTCCCTCAGACAGTTTCCCAATAGTTGGATTGTGGGATGCAAGGTCCACCTCCTTCCCTCCCCAGGGAGAGAAGCGAGGCTATGAGGGTTTCCATTTTTTCACTGTACACTGAACCCGGAAGAGGATCTGTGGGAGATGTGTATATGTAGTCCTGACTGCTACCTCTGTTCTCAGTGGTTCCCAATGTGGGGCCTCTGTTCTCAGTGCTCAAACTCAAGCAAGACAGAAACCAGTCCTTTGGGCAGTCCTCAGAAAGGTGAGAATGTTGGGTACATCATCCAGTCCTTTTCTTCCCTCCCTAGGAACAAGCTAGGGACTGAGGGTTTCCTCTCAGTTAGGTGGTACTGTGCCAGAGGGTAGGGATTATGATGAGAGGGTCCTTGAGTTCTCTTACTGGCTTTCATATGGATGTTTTTGCACTTGCACACAGTGTGGGAACCTCTTATCTGGTTTCTGGATTTCTCACAAATGGAATTGGTTTGTGTATTACTGTTGAATTGATGGGTCTGTGGGAGGAAGGAGGGTGCCAAGCTTTCTATTCTGCCATCTTGCTGATGTCTCTCAGGTATTGATCCTTCTTAATGAGTTTTAAGGGTTCTTTATATATTATAGATATAAGACTTTTACTAGATATCTGCAGATATTATCTTGCAGTCCATTGTTTATCTTTCCATTCTCTTAACAGCGTCTTGAAAGAGCAGAAACTCAATAAAAGAAAAAAAAGGGGGCACCTGGGTGGCTCAGTGGTTGAGCATCTGCTCTTGGCTCAGCTGGTGATCCCAGGGTCTGGGATCGAGTCCCGCATTGGGCTTCCTGCAGGGAGCCTGCTTCTCTCTCTGCCTGTGTCTCTGCCTCTCTCTCTGTGTCTCTCATGAATAAATACATAAAATCTTAAAAAAAAAAGCAGAAACTTAATTTTTACGAATTCCAATGTTTTCATCTAGAAATACTATACATTTCGGTCTATGATCCTTTTTGAATTAATTTTTGTACATTATACAACATACTGGTTGAATATGGTGAATATTTTTGCTTCCCTGCCCTGCCATTTACCCCTCCCTCATTTGTTCATTTTTTTTCTTTCCCAATCCCTTCAGTGTACTTATGGCTTTCATTTATAATACATTTAAGTGGTTTTATTATTGTTGTTATTCCAGTTTTAGTGTGTCCTTCCTTCTCAATCCTGGTTGATTTAGATTATTTATAATCTGAGTAGATGAACCACTAGCATGGTTCTAAAATTCGTAACACAGAAAGTTACACCCAGGGAAGTATCACAACTTCCTTCCCATCTCTTCTACCTTGCTCCAATTCTCACATTTTTTATACCCCATTCCCATACACTTCCTATAGAGAACCAATTTTGTAGGGTTTTGGTTTATCCTTCCTCATTTTTTTTTTCACAAATGATACATGTATATTTTATTTTCCCTTTTTAGTTGAAAGGTATCATACTAAATAAATACTCTTTTACACGTTGCTCTTTTCACTTAAAAAATATAACACAGCAGTTCATGGACATCATTATTTCATGGACAGCATTTTTTTGGATTACCAGTTTATTGAACAGTTATGAATGTATGGGCATTTACATTGTTCCCAATATTTTGCAGTTACAAACAACCCTGCAATGTGCATATATATTTTCATACTGTTGGAAGGAGTATCTTCATGGTAAATTCCTAGAAGTGGGATTGCTGGGTCAAAAAGTATTGACATATGTACTTTTGTTATCCTGACTTGTTTGCAGAGTCCTCCTCCACAAGGGTGTACTAGTTTGTATTTCCACCACCAAATAAGAGAATGCCTGCTTCCACAAAATCTTATCAACAGAATATGTGCCAGTCTGATAGCATTTTTTTTGCCACACAAAATTGTGTATCTTTGCATAGTCACATTTATAAATATTTGATTTATTTCCTCAGGATTTGGATAATTTAGTAATTTTTATAATTTCAAAACTTTTCCTTATACTTTTCCTTATACTAATGTTTAAGAAGAATTCACTTGTGTTTTATTCTAATCCTCGTATAGCTTCCTTTTTTACTTTTACTTTCCTGATGCATTTGAAGCTTACTCTTATATATAATGTTAGTCATGGATATATTTTCTCCCAAATGGCCAAGCAGTTGTCTCAACATCATTTATTACCAAAGTCCGTCTTCATCCCAAATTATTCGAGATGCCGTCTTTATCATACACTAATTTCCATGTCTACCTAAGGTTTATTCTATTTCATTGGTTCATCTATCTATTTATGTTCCCATTGCCACATTGTTTTAATTATAGAGGCTTTACAATATATTTTAATACTTGGTTGAGCTGGGCAGCCCTGGTGGCTTAGCTGTTTAGCACCGCCTTCAGTCCAGGAGCCTTCAGCCCAGGGCCTGATGCCGGGAGATCCAGGATTGAGTCCCATGTTGGGCTCCCTGCATGTAGCCTGCTTCTCCCTCTGCCTGTGTCTCTGCCTCTCTCTGTGTCTCTCATGAATAAATAAATACAATCTTTAAAAAAATATTTGGTTGAGCTAGTCCCCTTTGTTTTTCTTTTTGTATTTTCCTATCTATTCTTGCATGCTTATTTTTTATAGGAACTTTAGTAAAAACTTACCTAATTCCACAAAACTTTTGTTGATATTTTATTGAAATTGTGTTAATCTTATGTTAGTTTTGGGAGAACTAATATCCTTGGTGAGTCACCTTATCCAAGACTATGGTTTCCAAGAATACTTTTTACCATCTCTGTAGCAAGTCATACTGAAACTAACATTCGTTAAACACTTATTGTACATTGACATGTGTCAGGTACTGTGCTGGGCATTGGAGATGTGGTGAGGAAAATAGTTTTAGATTTCACATAAATACATAAATTAAAGCACACATGAGTCTCCATTAGAGTTAAACTACACATGTCAAAGTAGCTAAGTCTTTAGGTCTGTGATGTTTAATCTGGTGAGGGTTTCCTATGGTTCTACTTTATATCATACATTTCTAAGCCAACCTCTTTGCTTTGAAATGAAAAGGACTGAACTGGCATCATTGGGTTACTGAAGCTTTAAGAGGACCAACTTGCATCACGGTGGGCCTACTTAGGCATTCTTAATGGCATCACAGTTACCAGTTCAACCTAGTTGACTAAATATCTTCACGAATCCAACTGTCTGTTTTGTCTGTGCCTCCACTCCACTAGCTGAGTTCTCATGGAGAAAACTAATCAGCAGGAAAATTGCCATTAGGCACTCAGAAATCTCAACCTGGAATGGCCTTCCAACTCTGCCTAGGCATGCTATTGTTTCTTTGGTCACTTTGCTTTCTCTCTTCCACAAAGACTCTCTTCAAATTTCTCCTATAATTTTCCTTGTTCTGAGAAGATGACCCATCTACTGCAAAGAGAAAGTCAAAATCCTAAGGTGGGAACTCTCTCGTCTTCCCTCCAGCAACAATACCTAAGTATCTGGATTTCCAGCCATCTCCATTCCAGTCGCTATGGTAATGGAGGAGCATTTCCTCTCATTATTTAAGATCCATCTCTCTGACTTGTCTGATCCTCCTGTTGTCTTTCCCCTTTTCATTCCTAATTCAACCTAATGCTATCAACTCTTTATTCTCTCTTCTCTATCCTCTCTCTTTATTCTTTCATTTTTCAAAACATATAAACCTGCTGAAACCTATCATTAAAAACAAGCCAAACAAATTTCTTCATTTCCCCTTCTAGCAATGGCCATTGTCTCCTTTCGCCTTTGTAGCCTAATATTTTAAGTCATATGATTTTGTAAGCCTAACTGGAGATGCTCCTCATGGATGCAGAAGTATATAGTCACTGAGAAGTAGAGGAGCTTGAAGAAAATATGGAGACAGCTATAGACCACCACAGTATACCTTGCTTTGTGGCTAGATTTAATCAGAGGGCAGGGGCCATAGGTGACACATGAGATCTGCTTGCCTGTGGTGAACTGGATAATATGAGCAATATGCTGTAAGTGTGGGCTTGGAGTCAGTTTCTTTGTCTGAAAAATTTAAATGACAACACTTACTTTGCAGCATTGTTTTGGGGATTAAATGACCTAATGGGTGTAAAGCTACTTATCATGCATGGTACATGCCCAATAAATTTGACCCATTCTTATTTTTGCAATTGTAATTACGTTGTCGATGGGCAGATCTGCCTAACCAAGTATGAAAGCTTACATATTCAATACAGAAATAAATATAAAGTAATACAGTTGCCTTTGAACTACATGTTGACTAGTGCTTTAGATGTTCATTCATTCCTCATTCATTCATCAAGAGACATATATCAGAAACTCTGCTAGGCATTTGGGATTAGGAAGAGGAAGGCAAAATCTGCTCTCAACGATCTCTTAGTTTTAGGGCAGTCAAGGCATAAGCATGTCATTATAATGTAGTGTAGTAAGCACAGTAATTGATCAACCCAGGATATTTTGAGAGTTCAAAGAAGGAAGCATCCAGCTTAGGGTGAAGTACATCCTGGAACTGGTTCTTAAAGTGAGTTGATAGATGTTAGCAGAAGAAAGAGAGGAGGCAGGCAGGGAAAAGATTTTAAAGTCCCTCTGTTCATGCAGTTCAACTCAAAGCCTCTGGAATCTCATACTTTGTTTAATTTTTAAGAATTGTACTACTAAAAAATTGTTTGAAACTCATCAGCCTATTTGAATGATATGCAAAGAACAAGGTGTATTACATGATAATAGGAGGATGAGTCAAGACTTTGTTGCATTGGGAGTGGAACATACCAGGATTGCTGTAGGCAGAGTGACACAATGTATTTTAAGGAACCTGGTGGCTGGGAGCCCAGAGAAGCTACTACCACATGAAATTGCCTAGGTGATGCCACCTTGGTTCTCAGCTTTAATGGTGCAGGAAGCTGATAATCAGCTAATAGGAGGTGACTGGCCTCTTGAGGACTGGTTCAATTTAAAAATATGAGATAAATTTAGAAGCAATAATGCATTCACTAATAATCAGCAATATGAAATTTGCACAAACTGGGATCCCTGGGTGGCGCAGCGGTTTAGCGCCTGCCTTTGGCCCAGGGCGCGATCCTGGGGACCCGGGATCGAATCCCACGTCGGGCTCCCGGCGCGTGGAGCCTGCTTCTCCCTCTGCCTGTGTCTCTGCCTCTCTCTCTCTCTCTCTCTCTCTCTCTCTCTGTGACTATCATAAATAAATAAAAATTTAAAAAAGTAAAAAAAAAGAAATTTGCACAAACTGAAATTCTCAGCTTGTTATGACTGGTACATTTGCTCCATACAGGCATGCTAAAATACTTGTCTCTTGAGATCCTCAAATCAGAAGAAATGGAATTAGCTAGAGTGGGCTGCTTGTTTCACACAAGGGTCTGAGCAATATGGGCTGAATTTCCTGTCCTGATTCTTAAAAAACAATCTATTTGATTTCCTAGTCACAAATTCTCATTGTTGAGGGTTATTTAACAGATGAAGTCTGGAGACAGGGGCAGGTCTTAGGCTGATGAGCATCTAACGAGAATGCATTTTGGAATAGGCATAACGAGCATATGCTCAGGAGGTGTCATGAACTAAAATCATGTTAAGACTTCAGGAGAAAGAAATTTGCATGGGAGCATATACCTGCCATATAATTAATGCAATTTGGCTATGAGAGTGGAGTATCTTTGAATCTGTGAGAGCGAGATACATTATATTAACATTATATTAACATAATCTATTATTACGGCATATTAACATATATTAATGTAAATTAACATAAATTAACATAATTTCAAAGTATTATTCATATTACCCATTTATGTAAAATTTATGTAAAATAATTAGATACTGTGCATGGGAAAAAGGTATGGAAGTATACATAAAATATAATGGGTGGTTTTCCTATATAAAGAAACATACGGAAGCTTGAGTGGCCTTCATTTTCTTTTTTTATCTGTGATTTCACAATATTCTAAAAGAAAGCTGTGCTATTTATGCAATAAAGAATCATAAAGTTAGAAAAAATTAGCATAAGAGGAAAAAGACAGAATGTCTTCCACACTCACTGAAACAACTACTATAATGTGGCATGGATGACATTAGACACAAACAAGTTAAGACCATGAGAAACACTCTAGAAGAGAATGGAAAGGGAGATGGTTCAAAAGAGTGTGGGAAGGGCAGTGGTGCTACAGAGAAAGAGATTTCTTTTCAGTCTGGACTAAAAACTGGAAGGGACTATTTTTAGTAGAGGAATTTGAAATGCTCCTCCCATTGGCACAGCTGGCACCAAAAATACTCATCTTGCATAGGATAATAATAATGTGGGTATGAATGGTCAGAGCAGCAAGTGCCAATATAATCAATTTGCCAATATAATGAGTTTGCCTATCACCGATTGGGAACTCCAGTGGATGGTCCTAGACTCCTTTGGCAGTTGCCTGGGGGCACTATTTAGAACACACAGGACATGCTGTTACTGCCTTAACCAACTCGCTGTATTTCAAGGGCAGTCTAGTATCCTTGGCAATATTCCATCCCACCCAGATGCAATGGTGGCCACTCTGTCTCTGTGCTCAATCTGCTGTAATCTCCTGAAGGGTAAATTGCTAGGGCTCTATGGGGGTAAATTGGGTTTCTACCCCCCTCCAGAGCTAGGACCAAAACCCTAGGGGCACTCTCACCTTCTGTTGTCTCTGTTACGGTACCTGACCCATCTAATTCAAATGCTAGCCCTGCTGGGGAGATGCTCAGAGCTTTCATCTGCTTCAGTAGTACTTTTGCTTCCTCAAAGGTGCTTGCTGCTTTGATTCCCAGTCCCTTACATGCTCTTTCTTTACTTGGCAGTATAAGGGATGGAGACACTGTGCCAGGTGGAGAACAAAAGTCCTCAAAAACCCCCAAATCCCTACAAAGGCTTGCACCTCTTTCACACTCAGAGGGGTTGAATAGGCTTGCAACATATTCATCATAGCTTCTGAGATAACTTGTGTCTTACCTGATTAGATGACTCCCAACACCTTATGGTTGGTGCCAGGGCCTTGAATTTTCTGTGGGTTCACTGCCCATCCTCTCCCTCACAAATGTCCCAGCAAAGCCTGTGAGGTGTCCTGCAACAGAAGCAAATCCTCACGTTAGCAGTAGGCCATCGATGTACTGGGCCCATTGTACTAATGTGAGGAAGGAGGACAGGGACAGATCTTGGGCTGTCATCACATGACATATGATGGGGCTGTGCAGATAACCTTGGGGAAGCCTACTGTTGCTCCTCCCTTGTGAAGGCAAATTGCTCTTGTGACTTGGGTGCCAAGGGTTTTCTGAAAAAGGCATTTACTGAGTCCAGCACAGCATGGTGCACTCCTAGGACCCTGGGCAAGGTATCTAAGATGGTGGCCATGTTGGACACAGCTGCATGGATGGGGAGGGGAATACCGTGTTCACTTCTCAGGTGTCCACGGTTGTCTGCCATGAAGCTTATTTACAGGTCACACTGGGCTATGGAAAGCACTCGGAGCAGGAAGTACAGTGCCCACAGGGCAGTTCCTGCATAGTTTCTCTTATCTCCTTATGCCCCGGGAATTTATATTGTTTGACAGTGACCACCCCTCATGGGGGCAGCAGACTTACCAGTTGGCATTTCCTCTCAGCACTGGCTTGATTACTCTAGCCTAGAGGTGGAATTCACCGATACAGGTTGGCAGAGTCTGATTTTGGAGGATTTCAATGCCCAATACATTCTCTGGTATTGGAGAGATAAAAATATCATGTTCTTGGGCAGGGATGGGGAACACTGAATTTGAAGTGTCAAAAGGAGCTTTCTGACCCTAACTATTGGCCCTCCATAATCATTGATGACACTGAGGGGGGCCCAGAAACTTCAGAGGATTACCATGTATTAGAGGACATTTGGCTCCAGTGTCCACCAGAGCTGTCACCCTGTGTTTATTTCTGGAGGACCAGCGAATGGTGAGCTCTGCATGAGGCTTCTGGTCACCTCTAATGACCTTCACATGGAGGTAATCTTGGCTTGCGTCCTATACCTGGAGCATGGGAGGCACCCATCCCTAAATAAGACTGCATCCCTGAGGCCTCTGCAGGAGCAGTGCAGGAGACTGTATCCCTTAGGGTTGGCAGAGGCAAACGGGGCTGGTCTGAACTGTTCTGGCTTTAAGGCTTTCCACAGGACAACCAACGCGGTTTTGGGTTGTGTTCAGATGGGATCCCCTCAGCCATAAGGTCAAACCACACTTGTTTCTGGGTTATTTTCATTGGACCCTTTACAGCCTTTTGGCTTTTCCCGCTCCCTTTCCATTTTGGATCTTTTTCACAGCCCACACTGGTCTCTGGGATTTGTCAGTCTCCCCCAGATCAGCAATGGATTAGCCAACATCATAAATGTCTGTCTCACAACAGGCTCAGCAGGAATATCAGCGTCCCACACTGGGGTGGACTGAAGATGCTGGGGTGGACTGGAGCATCTTAGTCTTCACTCCTGCAGTGAATGTGGCCTGATCAGGGCCTTCAAAGACAGGGATGCAGGTGATCTCTCTCATTTCCAACCCTCTAAGGATTTTCTTTTCCTTTTTTTTCTTTTTTGACAGATCCTGCCTTAGGTTTATTTATACAGTTAGCACAGGAGGACGCCAGTCTCTGCAGAAAGAAGCCCAGGGGCCACAGCCATCCTCCTGTCCTACATCGGCAGATAGAAGCCTCTACATTGGAGCCTTCTTTTTTGGGGCCTGGGCCACCTTTGAGAGAATGAGCTGCGACTGCAGCTAGAGCCAGAGCCACAACTTGTTCTGGGCCTTGGTTTGAGCCTTGGCCTTGGAATTTGGCCAATAGAGCCTGAGACCCTTGACAATATGGGCATAAGCATATTTCTAGAGTGTGGGGTGAGTGATGTAAGCTCAAGTTGATTGAGCTTGTGACTGCTGCCCTTTGGGGTCTTGGACTTTACCAGGGCCTTGACAGCCTCGGCACATACACTCATGATCTTGGTGGTGTTGGCTTCCATCTCCTTTAGGCCCTTCTTGCTGTGCTTCTTGGCAAAGCGCATGTTTCTCAGGAACTTGGGGTCCACCCTCCTAAGAGATTCATATCTTTGTGATGCAGTTTCTTGATGTCATTTCTGTGCCATTTTCATGGCTGGTTGTAGGCAGTGTGGTTTTTGGATCAGGTAATGTCTGCACTGAAGCCCCTGACTCCTAAATCACCAGGGACTGGAAGAGGAGGAGGAAGCTCCAAGAATTTCTTATATCTCCTCTAAAGATGTCCAGGGTACCAGATGCCCAAAGAGGTCCTCCTCATGGGGCTGAGCCTCCCTGCAGGCTAGAATAATCCAGTGTATAAAGGAGTGAGGACCTCAAACCTCTGAGTGCTAAGCAGGTGCTGCCTGAGGGCAGTGACTGTGGTTGATGTTGCTCATTTTCTCTGCCTCCTGCCTGGTCAGAGAAATGCCAGGGGCCCTGCATCTCTGAGCTGCACTAACCACACTTGGATCCCTTTCTGGGCCTTTTGCGGGAATTTGGCAGCTCTGTCAATAAGCTCAGTGGGAGTATATTCTCTGGTCATGAACATTTCCTGAACTGGGGGCTCCCCACTAGCTGGGGTTGCTGTTGCCGGGCTGGTGCTTTCCTTTGTGTTTGGTGTCGGATGGCAGGGGCGCTCCATTGGCTGCACTGTCACTTGGCACAACACCTTCTCTTCACTCTGCTTACCTGCCCAGGGATGCTCTGCCCAGGATGCCATGTGCAGTTTCTTAAACAAGTGTGTTAAAGCAGCCAGTGTTTTCAGGGTGTTCCCCTACTCACATTCGGTCTACAGGCACATTTATCTAACCTAAGGGACCCCTTTCCCACAAAGAAGGGAACCTCCCCTCGCCCTTCAGGCATTTGTGGGAAAAATGCCTCTTTTCTGAGGCCAGTTTCTTCAGTCTCCTGGCTGGTCCAGCAATCACCAGTTCACAAATCCCTGGGAAGCTTTTCAGGTGAAATCTGAAACTGGCCCTGTTAGCAGAAAGCAGAGAGAGATGGAAGAAAGAGGCAGGCTGGTAGGTGGCATGCAGGTTTATTTTTTTTATTATTATTCTTTTAATCTATATAAAGGTTTTTAATGAGCTATTTTAGGCATGCAGGTTTAATAAGCAAGGGAGCTTACATATGAGGCTTGTCATGAGGGGCAAATGAATCCTAGCACCTACCCACCAAATCTTAAAAGTTTATATGAAGGCCTTATCTGGGTTCAGTCCTGTACACCATGCAGGTGTACTCATCACCGTATCAGTATCTCAAGGCCATGTCCTTGGGCAGCCTCTGGAAGTGGGGAAAGCGAGCGGAATGCATGTTTCAGGGACAGGATTGGAGGTGAGGAACCTCCAATTGCTGATTGCCTGGTCCAGCTCATAAGTCAACCTGTGGTCACATCTTCTTGATGACCTCCGCCAACATCTTCCAGAGAATTCCATTCTATAGCGATAGAATGGAATTAAATGAGAATCAGTGACAAAAAGGTAATGACAACCTCCCCCAAACATTAAAAAATCCTAAAATACACATTTAAATAACTCATGGATGACAGGAGAAATAATAAGCAAACTGAAAATACTCAGAACTCAATGATACTGAAAATACTACATCTCATGGCTCGTGGGATTCAGCCATTGATTGCTTATATGTATGTTTCCCTCAGGGAAGCTGGGGGGTTGGGGCTTCCAGTGGGCATGAGGCATTTTACTTAGGCCATATCTTATCTATTTTCTAGCTAATGTGTGTTCCTGTATGAAATAAAATCTAGTAGCTATTACTTTGTCAAGTCAAAAATGAATTTTGAAGGGCCAGTTCAGCTAGAAGTTGTGCGACAATGTATGACTGTTGTAGTTTACCAGTTGGAGTTGAGGTTGGAGGAGTGCTGATTTAGGACTCACTTTGAAGGAGAAGTACCAGTGAATAGGGTTGTATCTAGACAGTTTCCAGCCTTTCTTAATTAGACTTCTTGAGAAATCTGAGCCCTAAAGGCCAAAGACATTCTTTGTATGTAATGAGTTAACCTCTCTTATACATCTGGAATGGATTTTAGTTATGTACCATTTGGGGAGAATTAAGGAAGGAGTCACTTAAATAACTTTCCGCATTCCATGGTTCAGATGAGGAAAAGGAAAAGGCTGCGAGACCCTGCCCTGACAATGAAGTAAATCCTGTGCTGGCCCCCTGGGCCCTGGGCTCTCATACTTGGGCTCAGCTCAGGGAATCCTAGTCTTGGGGAAGAAGTAGGTGACCAATGATCAAGTAGAGCTGTATGAAAGGCCCAGACCCTAGACTGATGGAGTGCATGCTTGAGATATCCTTGACTCATGCTGAAGATTTTCCCTTGGCCTTAGGGCTACCCTATTCTCCCTCCAAGTCCTCTCCTTGACTTTGGAGCCAAGTGAAAACAATTCAGTTCTTTTGTATAGAAGTGGATGGCTGTACAGGACACAGTAAAGCGTGATCGCTGGACTAAGATTGAAACTAGAGTAAGAAAACAGAAACATGATTCTTAGGTATCATTTTAAAAATGATAAACAGTTCTAACAACCCCCTGCATCAGAAATACCCAGAGTCCTCATTTAAAATGGAGATTCCTTTTTGAATCAGTGGGGCTTAGAAGTCTAATTCAAGTTAAAGAGCTGCTGGCTTAGGCAGATTTGTGGGCATGCGGTGAAAGCCTTTACTCAACCCATGTTACATCTTAATTATGAGGATCCACATGTCTCCTTTGATACATATATGATCTCTGCCATGTGTGGACTCAGTAACCATAATTTAAATCGTCAGAGTGAGGTTCCAAATACCCATGACATATAGCCATTGGGGGCTTCCCTGAGGTGCTAAGTATAAATCAAGTGGTGTGAGGTCAGCTGATGGCCAACGGTCCCAGCATCTCAGCATGAATTTGTAGCTCTCTGGGTGGCTTGGCATTTTGCAGGAAGAATTATTTGCTAAAATTGAATTTAGTGATTGTAAGGATTCATAAGATCTCAGGGCAGGCAGGAATTTCCTCTGATCTGATTCTTTCCATCTCTCACTCTCTAGAAAATTCTCAGAGTTCCTAAGTCTACTCCTAATTGCCATACCATTGAATTTTTCACTTAAGTCTGGATTCTTTTTGTCCTCTGTAGTATTTGGCTCAGTTGGACAGTTTCCCATTTTCCCACCTTTTTTTTTCTTTTTGTATTTATGATGTCACCCTTGTGTTCTTTCACTCATTTTCATTGATTTTTCTTCTGCTTTCTGTGTCCTACAGGCAGGCAACCTCACTTTACTCAGATCTCATCAAGGAGGCTGTGCCTGGTCACCTTCTCCAAAATGACAGTCCTTCAGGACATGTCAGCCCTTTTCCCTGTTATGTTTTTTGTTTGTTTGCTTCTTTCTTTCTTTCAAGGCTTATTTGAGAGAGATAGAAAGAGAGTGCTTGAGCACAGGGGAGGGGCTGAGGGAGAGAGAGAATCTCAAGCCCACTCCATGGAGCAGGATGTGGAGTTCCATCTCAGCATCTTACATCACGACCTGAGCCAAAACCAAGAACTGGGCAATTAACTGACTGAGCCACTCAGGTGCCCTCCCTGCTTTATTTTCTCAACAGTACTTACCACCATCTGATCTATCATTTATATAGGCATGTATGTATTTTTTTATCTCCTTCATCTTTCTCTGCAGAATATAAATTCCTACAGAGCAGGAAAATGGTCTTGTTCATTTGTTTGTTTTGTGTTTTATTTCTTCTTCTGTATCTCCAGAGCCTGTAACAATGCTTGACTTATAATAAATGCTCAGCAAATACTTCTTGAATATATAAAATAATGTATTTTCTCTCTTTATTGTCAGGGGTCTGGAAGGAAAGTAAGATACACACAAATCAAAGAGATTATTGAAGATGTATGCATGGTGTAAGGCAAGATAAAGTACCCCAGTGTTAATAATAGCAAAGGCTCCATGATCATCCCAGACCTGAAGGAGTGAGAGGAAAAAACTGTGTGGAAAGGACACAGAAGCTGCAGTCTTGCACTCCAAAGTTTTCTCCTCTAGGATTGGCTACATAATTTCAAGACCCAATACAAAGTGAAAAAACACGGCTCCTTGTTCAAAATTATTAAGGATTTCAAGACAGCGACAGCAGAACATTAAACCAAGCATGAGGCCCTGCTAACATGGGACCCTGTGTGTGATAACACAAGTCACATGGCCATGAAGTTGCATCTAATCTCTTCCCTCTTTCCAATCTTCCATTGGCTAAATCCAACTGGTAACCAGAACTCAAAGAAGCTTATTTGCTGAATGCCTGATTCCTGGGGACACAGAACTGAGTAAAAAGGATGAAGTTTGGATCTGGGGAGTAGAAAAAAGATATCCAGCCCAGATAAGTGTAGAAAATATTTATCTCTATGACCTGCTATGTCTGAGTGACAGAGGGTGAAGAAAGTATAAGACACTTTAGTATTAGTCAATAATAATTAAGCATAGGCACATTTCCAATATGATTAAAGAACAAACACAAATACCAAATAAGTAGTATTGAGAAGAGAAAGTAAGTAATAACCCCAGGGTTTCAACTGCATCATTGGCTTTGGGGTCTGGCCAACCTCTGCCCCAGTACTGGCCTTGACTTTTGGTAGCTGTGTAATGATAGGAAAATTGCTCTTTTTTATCGCTAGAGTCTGTAAAGCACAGATAATTATTTCAGAGGTTGTTGTGGGTTAAATTAAAGGATGTCCCTAGCCACCAGTGGGTGTTCAATAAATGTTGGACAATAGAAGAAAGCTGGGATCACAGACGGAAATAGATGAGTTGGGAAAAGGTCTTTCTAGTTCTATGGATTTCTGGGAAAGGGGAAATGTTTGTTCTACAGTTTTAGAGCTCTGGTGGTTAGGAAGTTTTCTCTAAAGCCATCATAGATGGCTACTTCTGAAGAATATAGCCATTTTTCAGAGAATGCTATTTGATTTTCCTGCTGGGCTTGACAGAAAGGATAGAGACTACAGGCAGGCAGACATGGTTACAAATCCTATCTCCACCAGTGAGTAGTGGCAAGTTGTCTTAAGTCCTTTGAGCTAGTTTCTTGTTACAAAAGCAGTGTCACTGTAAGGATTTATGAGAAAATGTCAATAGTGTGCCAAAGAAATGCTCAAATTTCTACCTAATCTGCCACTCTTTTTTACTTTTTCAGTTGAGCTGGATTTAGGAATCATTTCTTTTGCTTAAGCAGTTCCCATCTCCAGCAGTCAGCTGTGGTTCTTTTCTGTGGGTTTCACCCTTGTTCCCTGCGCCTTCCTGGTCACAGAAGTCTCAGTGAGAGAGTTGAGAGGGGAAGAAAAGAACAAGAATCTGTGTTCACTTCTGCAGGAAAGTTCTAGTTCCTCATTGGCTTTTATCCAGACCTGGTTTAAATTTCTCTGCCTTGGGAAAGAAGAAAGCAAAAGAGGAAGCTTTGTGCCTCCCTTCAGGAAGTATATGAGTTGAGTAAAATGTGTCTCTAACAGGTTGAATAGTGCCCCCCCCACCCGCCCCAGATATCTCCATGGTCTGCGAATGTGACCTTATTTGGCAAATGAAATCTTTGCAGATGTACTTAAATTAAAGATCTCCAAATGAGATCATTCTAGATACTCTGGGTGGGCCCTATATCTAATAACAAGTGTCTTCATAAGACACACAGTAGGGATGGTCATGGAGAGAAGAGAGGGCCATGTACATATGGAGGCAGGAATTGGAACCCTGGAATCCACCAGAAGCTAGAAGAGATAAGGAAGGATTTAGAAGGCACACAACCTGATACCACCTTGATTTCATAGTTCTGGACTCGAGAACTATGAAAGAACAGATTTCTATTGTTTTAAGCCACAGAGTTTGTGGATATCTGTTACAGGCAGCTCCAGGAATCAATGCAGTATCCAATCAACACCAATCATAATGAGTATACGCACTACTACTACTAATAGCTGCTCTGTATTGAGCATGAATGGAAGATAGCAGTCTCTGGAAGCTGCAAGAGAGGAGCTGGCTCCTCATGTTATCCCCAACCTGTCCATCTTCGGCAAGCCTGATTGTGTTATGATAAAAATGTATTTTGTTTTTGGTCCTGTTACTGGCTTGAGAATTTCCTGAGAAACCCTGAGAATTTCCTGAGTGGTAAGAGTGTTTTTTGTATGCTAATGAGATGATCCCTAGATAGTGTCAGGATGAGGGCCTGAATGCCAGAAAAACTGACCATGAGATTAGAGGGTTAGAACTTTTGACCTGCCACCCACCCTCTCACTGCTGAGAGATTAGTCCAATAGCTAATGATCTAATCAACCATGTTTACATAATGGAACCCCCACAAAAATCTCTAACCAAGGTGGTTTTTGAGAGTTTCTGAGTTGGTGAAGCCATCAACATGCTGTGAGGATGGCACATCATGGAAGCTCTACACATACCACCACCTTGGCCCCCACATCTTCCATCGGGCTGTTCCTGAGGTGTATCCTGTATAATAAACTGATAATCATTAAGTGAAGCATCTTCCTGAGTTCCGTGGATTATTCTAGCAAATTATGGGAACTGAAGAAGGGGTTGTGGGAGCCCTGATTTATGGTATGTCTGTCAGAAATATGGGTGGGTCTCTGGTACACATGACTGGTGGCTGGAGTGGCTACAGTCCCGTGAAACTGAGCCCTTAACCTATTGGGTCAGTGCTAACCTTGGGTAGCTGGAGTCAAAACTGAATTAAATTTTTTTTTAAGATTTTATTTATTTATTCATGACACACACACACACACAGAGAGAGAGAGAGAGAGGCAGAGAACAGGCAGAGGGAGAAGCAGGCTCCATATGGGGAGCCTGATGTGGGACTCGATCCCAGGACCTCAGGATCATGACCTGAGCCGAAGGCAGGTGCTCAACACCAAGCCCCCCAGGTGCCCCCTGAATTGAATTGTTGGTTACCTAGTTGTTGTCAGAGGATTGGCTGTTGGTGTCAGAAAAGACATCATATACACATCACATGTGGGGAAGACAAAACTCCCATGTTGATTTTTGTTTTATTGCTTTTAACAAATTTTTCAGGGTATAGATAACTACTAGATCACAGTTCACTGATTTACTAGAAGAGTGTGCATTCCTGCTTCAAGTTAGCTGATCCCAAGGTTTGGGCTCTTAGGAATCTGCCCTGGAGGGATGTCAGCTCTCCGTGCCTCCCTCGGAAAACCAAGCAGGTAGCATTGCTGCCCTTTCTAGTGCATTCTTTCTGTGTTTTGGCTTTTAATATTGAGGAGGTCGAGTCTTGGTGAAACACACAGGTGTGACCTTTTTCAGGCCTGACCGGAGGCCGTGGCACTGGCTCCCACAGAAAGCTGCCCTCTCCATGCCAGCCTCGGTGCCCGGCCCCCGTGCCGCAGTCTCTGGAGGGAGGTCCTGCTCTCTGCCTACTATCAGTCCAGCCCTGGGGCCTTCATTCCCAGGCTTCTTACCTAGGCCTTGGCCAGAAGTCCTCTTCCAGTGCCTGTAGGGAAACTAAGCAGAGTGTTTAGGGAGACTTCTCCACCCTGAATTCCCCATCTCTGATGATAAAAATGTCTCTCTTTCTACCTCCTGGGGCAGGGAGGATGCCTTTCTCAGGAGAAATTTATTTCCTATTTTCAGGGGGACAGAGAAGGGGGAGTCCTCCTTGCACTGGCTATTTCTCAAGTAATTTTCCTTCTTGCACTGGCTATTTCTCAAGTAATTTTCCTTCTTGCACTGGCTATTTCTCAAGTAATTTTCTTCTTGCACTGGCTATTTCTCAAGTAATTTTCATTCAAAATAATATGCCCACGTGACATATTCTGGCCTGGACTGCCCTGAACCCCAAAACATGGAAGCGAAGGGGAAGGTCAAGGGGTCCTACAAGAGGAGGTAGTGTCTGAGGTGAATCTCAAAGTGTAAGTGAAGCATGTGGGAGAGCTGTGAGAGCAGAAGACCCCACTAATTAGATAGCAACAGCTAACAGACAAGAGGGGTTCCCTCATGTCAAGAGAGAAAAACTAGAATTTTAATCAGACTGAATGACGGTGAGGAACGAAACCAGTGAGCACAGCCTATGGTGACAGATTTCACAAAATTCAGCAAAATCCCCGTAATGACCCCTGAAGCATGTCTTATCATGCTCCTCAGGGACTGCCACATCCTGAAACTGGGACCAGAAATAGCAGGCTGTATCCTGCCTGTCACTGTGCCCTGAAGTTTGGCACCTGAGTCCGACAATCTGGAGAGAGGGCGCAGAATTTGTGGGTTTTGCCTATTTAACCCTGAGCCTAAACCTTCCTACTCTTTGGTTTGTAGCCAAAGGCTGCATCTCCTCGCATTGGCAAATTTGTGTGGCAATAAAGCCCTCCCTTACTTCTGACCAAATTAGCATTTCAGGAATTTTTGCTGACAGATTCCTATGCAGTGGAATCAGCACAAGCAAAGTCATGATCATTACCAGCAGTGAAGTCATCGACCTGTTGCCTCCTATATGTCAGCCACGGAATGGGTTTTCTGTTTGGGTTTAGTTTTTTGTTTTTGCTCATTTTTCTTAGAAACGCTATAGCTCCCTTCTCACTGGGATGCTCCCAGACCAGTTGGTGGTGGCCTCTGGCACATACACAGGAAAATGAAGCAGATAATCTTGGAGAACTTGTGAAAAGTGAAGACGCAGCCTTGTTTGGAGAGACATCGTTTTGATGTGCACATGGCAGGGGCACCTGGTCTGTCAGGGCAACTGGACAAACAGTCCTTAATGGCTTAGGTGCCGGACAACAGGGCACTGTGGTGTTTTGCTGAAACAGGTGTCTGTTGTGACAATCCAGGTGTATCATTCCTGTAGTCTCCTGGTTTTGTGGCCTGTAAACCCATTTCTCGTGCTTTTCCAGAGACTGAGGAAGCCTCCTGATAAGCTCCTTTCTTTTTCACTAGCTTGAGTAGATTTTCTTCCCTGCAACTGAGAACGTGACTGGTCAAGAGGCTCTTCTGAGTGGGGAAGAGGTTTACAAGCAACAAGGCAGGAAATTTCTCCTGGGGTGGGGAGCTGAAAGGCATCACTCAGAAGCTTGGGTGGGGAGATGTGAGGCTCCTTGCTCCCATGGAAAGGGTGAGTCATGTGCCCAACTTGCTGGTTGGTACTCACTTTCTCCTCCAAGTGGGACCTGTACATGTCCAATAGTATCCTTTGTTCTGCTGTCTTCCTGTCAGTCACCACAGGCCTCAGGGAGAGCAGCCACAGATGATGAGACAGGCCGGGCCAGGCACCATCCCCTCTGTGCCCTGTTCCTCGGAAGCCTATTAGTGCTACACTGTAGGGACCCACGGTCCACTCTCTTTCTTTATTTGAACAAGTGTGTCAGTATACAGAATCATTAAAGTTTAAAGTACTGCTGTAATAGCACTCCAAGCAGTCTCAGGGGCTAACTTGCTTCAAGCCCCTTGCTTGCTGACCTAATTCTAGATGAACTATCCTTGAAGTTTATAGAAGGCTGGCCTTGAGTGAGGGACCAAACTTTCCCAGAAATCAAGGCCTGATGACACTAGAAAATGATGCTAGCAAGTCTGTTCAGGGTCATGCTGTCATGGGATTAATCACCTGGGCAGCTCCTCACCTCTTCCCCCCCCCCCCCCCCACACACACACCTTCTCCTTTAAAACTCTCTGGCTTCACCTGGACAGGGAAGGAAGATGGTCTCTGAGACATTCGTCCACCACATCCCCAGGTTGCCGGCTTCCTGAATGAAGCAATCATTCCTTTCCTACCCTCACTTGTCTCTCAACTGTTGTTTTTCAAGCAATGAGCAGCTGAACCTGAGTCTGGAACCAGTTCTCTTTCCAATAACCCTCTAATGATCACCTCATTCAACTTTCTCTAAGTCAGATTGAAACTGAGGGTTGAAGAGGTTAAGAACAATAACTACTCTGAATATAGTTCTCCTCTGTTTACAAAGGTCTTATCTCTAAAAACTTCTTTGGTCCTCACAGCAACCCAGTGAGGTTAAGCAACTGGCCCAAGCTTGGCTCTTTGCTTCACTTGTAGCAAAGCAGAGATGTGCATTTCTGGGTGTGTGATCCTGTGTACTAATGCTCAGAGGCTCTGCACACTGATTCTGGTCTGCAAACTCTGTTACCAGTTCCCATAAAGTACAAGATTGAGAGTGTTTAGAAACTTTGATGGCAGCAGGACATTGCCCCAATATTCAAGTGTGTGCTTTTTCTGTTCTATAGAAGTATCATTCTGAGATCGATTTGGAAATGAAAAAACAAAAGAGTCCATTACATGAGAAACTCTGCTCTACACTGCTTTCACTCCTGAGGTGAACAGGTGGTGACTGGGTAGTCTAGGGTCTCTTTAGAAGCTGCAGAAGGCTTTTGCACAATTCCTACTCTCAAAGAACATCCATTTTCTCACAAATCACGAGATCTGATTTATTCATTTTCAAAGAAATATAGAACTAAAAGTGATAACTCATGTTTTTGGTAACACATGTAAATTGTGAGTCATGTGTCTGCCAAACAACAAGATAGGAGCATGTCACTGGTTTCTCGGCCATGAACTCTATCTACCCTGGGGTTGGGTTAATACATCAAACAATTTGATTTTTTTTTAAAGAATTTATTTATTTATTCATGAGAGACACAGAGAAAGAGGCAGAGACATAGGTAGAGGGAGAAGCAGGCTCCTTACAGGGACCCCATTTTGCACTTGATCCCTGGACTCCGGGATCACGTCCTGAGCTGAAAGGAGACACTAGGGGTCCCCAAAAAATTTAATATTGAAATGATCTCCACAAGGTTAAATTGCTACTATTTAAAGGTACAGGATAAAATGTATTTTAACTGGGATTGCATTGGATGATATAAGTAAGCACATGCATAAAGCCTTATATTCTTTAAAAGTAGGGAAGAAAGATAATGACATTTTTAGCAAACGTAAAAACAGTGTGCTGTGACTGCAGATACAAAATCATTTTTCATGAATTCTAGACTGGACATTCTTATCTTTCTGGAATGGCTAACTTATCATCAAATAATGGGACAGGGTCATTTTCAGAACACATGTTCTCACATCTGGCTTATCTGCTGGCTGAACAAAAATTCGTGGCACTCCAGCACAAAAGGAGCAATTTCCCACACTACTTTTGTTATTGTTCTTTTGTTCAGTCACAAATCTAAAGCGATATGGTACTCTCGGACAGGAATGTTTTAGTACAATAACAGCTTTTTTCTTAAGAGTGAAAATCCTTTTTGAATTTCCTTTGGTTGGTGAAAACAGGTGTGAATATAGGAAGTCCTTTGTAAAAGCAAGTGGAATTAACTCAAACTTTCAGAAAATGGGGATACCTGTACTCTTGTTCCTTAGCAACTCAATTATTATCTGACTTCCTAGGAAGGCAGATGGAAAGTCAGCTCACCTACAACATCGCCTTATTGTCTTGCTTCCTCCTATTACTAATGTATCAGTGCCTGTCACAGTCACCACTATCACTTTCAATAAATGCCATTTCTGAGTCC